GTTCTTTTTTTATTTTCTGATAAGACCGGTTTAACCGGTTTGAGTCCTTGATCATAAAAATATTAATCAACAATAAAGTTTTATTAATCTTTTGCAGTCGAGTTTCTATACCAAATTGCCAAATAATTATAGATTCCTTATGCAACGATAATGCACAATTATGATGTGTACCTTAAGATATGGTTTGTGTTCGGGAGGTCATATTTTAGGTTTCTATGTAATTTTCATAGTAATCGAGAAAACTGAAAAAAAAAAAAAACGTAGATGAAACGGGAAATTTTAAGGAAATAACAATTTCATTATTTTCAATTTTGTTTATTTGTTAAAACTTACTGTAGAGGCAGTATTTCATATAGATATAAACATTAAATAAATTCATGTATTCTACTTTTCCAAATTACCACCTACAACAGTAGCATACTTGTCTGCAGTAACAGCTATTTTTTTTTTTTTTTTAAATATTTTTTTTTTACCACTATTTCGCTGTAGAAACACTTTAAAAAGATCTAAAACCGGGGTTTTGAGCGCGTTTTCAATTATTAGTTAACGACGATCGATGGTAATCATCTGGAAACGGTCCTAGTGAAAAGACCGGAACTATTTTGTAAGCAGCATTAAAAGGGGTAAAAGAAGGATGCTATTTAATGCACTTTGTGTAGTGAGCATCGTATAAAATATTTTATACGAATCAATCTTATAATAAAACATATAAAATTACTTTATAAAATCAATACGATCAAATAATCAGTGTTTTACAAAGATAAACTATATAAATGACACAGTTATTTAAATATTTAAATAAATATCGTTCGAGGAGTCTGGAAGCTTTGTAGGAAGCAATTATTATAGAAATTCGTCGTATACCTTAAGGAATGCTTGAAAAAGTTATGCAAAACTATTCATTTCGCTTGGAGCAATAAACGGCACCACTTGACCGAAATTTTATTTAAAACTACTTAAATTAAAAATTCCGATATTGCACAGTAAATACATGTATAAAAAAAAATTGATTACTAAAATATTGTTCTTTTTTTATTTTCCTTTAAAACTAAGGAGGGTATTTTATTCTAGTCAGTACTCTGTTTCAATCGTATATAATTTCAATTGGCTTTTCGGCGGACAGTGTTTTTTAATTTTTGGTCAAGCTCGCACATTCGAGACGTTCATTTGCTATAAAATGCCTATAGTAGATACTTTTTTCTATAATAGAAAAACCTGACAACAAACAACAGTATTCACCGATTTTAGGCGAAATCTTTAGTACGGAATAAAGAACAGAAATGTTGAACATAAACGGACAGATATTGTAAAGGTCTGACCCACAACATTCCGAAATCGAATTTTTAAATTTGAATAACTATAAGCGGTACTATATCGATTCCACCGAAATAACCTTTTTACATGAAATGAAAGAAATTAATCGATTACGCTTGCTGTACATTTTTTACATGCCGATTCAGCTAACAGTTTGTAAAATAATAATTGATATATACCATATACAGCAACACATTTGTACCATACACAAATATTTTGTCATTTGAGAAAAGAAGACATTTTTAAATTTGAAGTTGTAGAATGGAATAATATATTATATACAGAGTCAAAATCGAGTAGAAAATCTTCATTTTTAATCGTTTTAATTCCCATTACTTCGATGACTTCAGAAATATGTTTTGGTATCACTAGGTACGGAAATGAAAGAGACCAGTTTAAACATTGATATGAAATATATACATCAATACTCGCAGATAATTTATATTGTTTTTTAATTGTAATTTATTTTGTTATGAATTGATTGAAAATTAGTTTTATTAAAATATTATTTATATATATTTATAATTACAATATTATAATATTTATAGATAATTTATAATTTTATTTTCTCTATTTGTATTATTATTATTTATTCTGTATAGTCACAAATGTATAAAACTGTCTATTTTAACTTCATGTTTAATTGAACCTTGTTTAGAATAGTTTTTTATTAGCAATGATTTATCGTTGATGATAGACATAAATTTAATTACCTCATATAATCTGTACCTTCCTAAATATCCCATTTTATTTTTGTTAATAATAAATCGTTTTGTACAATAATATTTACCCCATCGACTATAGAGTAATATAATTTCTTCTTCTTCTGATATTTTTTTTTTTTGAAAATGTAACTCTCGTTGTAGGTAGGTACCTATATTTTAATATATATAAATTGTCTAGTGAAAGTGTTTTTACACGCGTGTCACCGGACAAATGGACCGAATCTCCAAATATTGCACACACTCGATTTATTTTTATTATCATCTGATCCGTATAATCGTGTTATTTCGTGTTGAAAAATCGACAGTATTACATACATTATTATTATTATTATTGTTATACCCTACTGTGCGTTCGCCATTAAGTTCAAAGACGTTTCGCCTCGTACAGGTTTTTTTTTTAGATTCTATAAGCGCAACGAAAAATGTATTGGTTTTACTAAATGATGTATACGATTTCTTTTTCTGTCTGTTAACAATTTGTAATCCGATAAATAATAATAATACAAATAGAGAAAATAAAATTATAAATTATCTATAAATATTATAATATTATAATTATAAATATACATAAATATTATTATAATAAAACTAATTTTCAGTCAATTCATAATAAAATAAATTACAATTAAAAAACATTATAAATTATCTGCGAGTATTGATGTATATATTTCAAATCAATGTTTGAACTGGTCTCTTCAAGAATTTTCTTATCAAATTTGAAAAACCGAAAAAAATGGGGAAAATGTACGAAATATATTACTAAAATATCACGACTTTTTCCTGTGCGCAACTTTTCAACCAGTTATTTTGATCCAACTTTTAACGATAGCGATGTTTCAAAAAGGAAATTTCCTTATGGAGGTAATTTTTCAATTTTATCATCAAATTTTAAAAAACGAAAAGAAACAGGAAAGTAATATTAGTATTAGTTAAAATATATATCGGCCTTCTTTTTTTCTGTGCACAACTTTTCTACCAGAAATTTTTCACCAACCTAAATGATAGTTATGTTACTTAAAGGAAGGTTTTTTAGGGTGGTTTTAATTTTCCCAAGAGTTTTCTCAGCAAATGTGAAAAACCGAGATAAAACATGGGAAAATCGGGAAAAAGTAGGAAAACTGGAAAATCTGTACAACATCAAACAAAAATTATTAAAGTAAATATATAAAGCCTATTTAATTATTTTATTATACAATTACATATATTATATTATTTACAAAGCTTCACTATCAATTGAACTCCGCTCAGAATCGTTTTTTCGTAAGCACTGGTTTATCTTTATTTAAATTTTCTTTCTAATTTCCTAATAATTGTGAAAAACTGGAAAGAACGTAGGAGAAACGATAAATTGTCAAAAAAAAAAAAAGTTTTCATCCGCATTAATAATTTTCTGAATAATGATGATAATATAAATGTTATGCATTTTCGTTATTCTGTTCAATAATGTCCAACAAAGAATATCAAATACCACCGAACCTCTATGTATGTATAAGTACCTATATATTTACTTTGCGTACAAGATGACAACGTAAATTATTCGAAAATAGTATTGATGAACAAATATATATATATTTACACGACAAACAGATCGGCAGAAATGCCGTACCAAATCGTCATTTTGATTGTTTGTCTGACCGCAAAGAATGTAAAATTTTGTGTCTCGGAGGAATACGTAATTTTCAGGCTCGTTTAGACGACTTTTCACGGTTACGATGTAACGATTTAACAAAAATCTCGTTTTTTTCTGCACGGGATACCTCTTTATACGCATTCCTACACATCTAGAAAACTCCTCACGTAACGGCCAAACAACAGCGTTGGATACTCGAAAACGCATCAAGTTTTTGAAACGCGGAAAAGTCCAACACTAAACAATAGAATTATACTATTTCGGTGGCCTCCCTCCTCTTTATTCACAAGGCTAAGATTTTACCGCTATCCGTGCGCTTATTTTATTTTTGTTTTAGATTCTGCATTGTGAACCGAGTAATGTTTTTTTTAGTTTTAGTATAGATACTTCATAGCCGGTGACAGTTTTTGGTAGCAAATATTGTTTAGTCTGTGTTATTTTTTTTATAATAACGGGGGAAGCTGCGGAAAAAAACTGAAATATTCATATGCAACCACGGCTTCTAGGTTAAATTCGATTTTTTTTTCGCAATTTAAAATATGAGTAAAAAAAAAAAATAAATAATAATAATTGTTGTTTTCTGTATTATATGTATACTGTTTAATATAGTTTTAGCGTTCTGGCGTTATTATGTTTTTGAAAAAGATTTATGACCGTTATAATATTCAGATGCATAGCATGCGGAAAACATCTCGTATCACGTACTTGTCACCTTGTCACCTTGTCACCTTGTCACCATTATAAAATATTATCTCTTGAACGTATTCATGAAAAATAAAATTGTATTGCAGATCTATAATATTTTAACTTCATAGCTGTCTCTAATTTCTTAAAGTCGTACAAAAGTAAAGAACTGCTGATGGGTGTGTCACCATTTTAGGAATAAAGTTGGAAATATAAGATATAATGAAGAAAATAATTTATATCCGTACGCAACGATAGAACGTTGCTAAAATCGAGAAATCAACAAAAGTTATACAGACCCTATATTGCCCGTTTTTTCTATTTATGAAGAGAATTACAAGGAAAATCAAAAATTACTTCCTCAGTGCACCAATTAGATTAAAAATGATATAGGTAAGAAAGTTTTTCCAAAGTTTTTGATTGGAGCAACATTTTTGATTGAATAGTTGTTAACACACGTGAAAAAAAAACATCATAATAAAACCAATACATTCCTCGCTTCAATAAGAATCTAAAACCTGCTCGAAGGTATAATTATTACAGTGAGAATCCACACTCTTGAATAGAAACAAAAAGTTTTATTAAACTATCAGTGTAGTTATCATTGAGTTTTTTCCATCACATTTATAAAACATTCGTCATTAAAATTATTGCAGATTCTTGTCTGGGGAAATTTTTTTTCGATAGTGTAACAATAACGTTGGTATGAAATCTTCGACGAAATCGTTGAATTTCATAGTGACGCCGTTTCGAACTAAATCTAAGTTCATATCCAACGTTCTACCCAAATACTTGACCACGTAGCTGTCGAATTCCGGATTATAAGCCGAATATCGTTCCATTATCCGGTGAACTGTATCCTCCACGCAAACCTAAATGCGTATCGTACTTATCGACTCGTCATTTTTTACACTTAAGTTATATATAATATTATGTAGCGGTGTAACTATATAATATTCATTTTTGGGAAGAGGGAGGTTATGAATTCGAAATTAATTTTTAAACAGATTTTTTGTGTTTATAAATTACTTAGTAGACCAAGTATATGACAAACATAATGTATTCAAAATTGTGTTTTAATGACTAATGTCTGAAATTGTAATACAAATTAAGCAAGTTTACTTTCTCTCTTCCCCTGGTTGCGTCACTGTATTTATATACGAATGGCCCAGAGAAAGAACCCAGGAATATATTCATAAATCATTTCGAGAAAATTACATTTTAAAGTTTACTATTATTATTCCTTTGCTGTGTACGAATATGGTCAACTTATTCGATACATTACTATACCATTCAATAATACTCACCAAAATCAATAAAGTTCATCTATAAAATAAATAAAAAAAGAAACCGAAAAAATGAATAGTTTACTTGTTCTTTTCACTGACTCTTCGTATAATAAGGAATCTATATCTAAATTATATACCTTTACCGTCGCGGTACGTTTAATAAGCGGATTTGTAACGCGCACCTCGATCGGCCTGACCGTTTCTAAGCCCACGTTGTAATTTTCGTCTTGCCACCACGGTAATTTGTTATTGACATTTTGGGGTATCCAATCGATGTCCGGTTTAAAATACGGTTCGTCCGGTAACCGAAACGGTAACGCGGACATCCGGACACAGGTTTCCGGGTGTAAAAGCGTCTTGATATTTGGGTGTTTCTCCTATATATTATTATAATATTGTATATAAGATAATATTATTACTTACGGTTTATAAGTAAAGACATCCGTCGGAAGAAATCCTGGGGGGAACGGCAAAACAATAGTATACATCCTAAACCGTTGTCTGTACAAAAAGGAAAAAATGTGACTGCGTTGTACATTATTAGACCAAACATAACAGAGTAAGGTGGACAATTTGTAAACGTAATTACCTCGAGAAAATGGCCGAGAATGTGTTAACAATATTTATAAACAACGACTATTTTAGAAGCAGCTTATACCTGTGCGGCGACTATAGCTTTAACAGAAGCCGAAGAATTTATGATAGGACACAATATCCTTAAAGAAAATGAGACAACCGTAAAGGAGAGAAGAAGAAGATTATGGTGTCGGAGATGTAACAATAAAAATGTTAATTTTTTTTTCCATCCAACGGACGTGATATTAAATTATTACAAGTCATTGGTGATTACGGTAACCTCAGAGTGACTGCGGTAGTCGTCTACAAACCAAAAGGTCACGTCTCGGCCCGCTTCCCTGACGATCGGATCAATCAGATCCGTACCCCGGTACCTTTCGATTAGCCCGGTGACATTTTTTACCACTCCGAATATTATCAACCAACAGTCCCAGTCGGTATTGTGTGCGGACACCTCTTCCGGTAGAAAATGCGTATTTTTCCATGACATTATTAACAAATTTTTATTAGTTTTGTAGTTGGTGAGTCGACAATGATAATAATATAATATATAAATATCGTGTTTTTCACCTTGGAAATAGAATATTATATTTTATTGTGCGTACAACGATGGTCATGGTTGAGTAATCAATCGTACTCGATCTATGCATTATAACGTTTACAACTTCCTATTGATATTTACTGGGATTTTTGTTTTTGTTACAGTGTCAGATTTCACGCAAGAACTGTCCCAAATGTACGAACAACACGCGGCCGAACTGCAGTTGTTGGTCACAAACTTTCGTAAGAAAAACATCGATCTTCGGAAAGACAGGTGATTATAAATAAATATAATTTGTCAGTACGTTTTTTTCTCGGAGAAAATATTTCAAAACTTTTTTCTTTTATTTTGTATTAAGTGAAAGAGATAAAAGCCAAAATATTTAGAATATACGAGAAATTGCACGTTTATGTTGAAGTCAGTTTCTTATTTCACTCTGAGATTAATGTAATTTAATATTTTTTTATACGCCCGAAAATAACGAGCCTCCTAAAAACTTTGAAACGCCCATTTTATTCTACATAATAAAATATACTCAGCCAAATAAAAACAACAGTTTGCATATTAAAAAACAAACAAATTAAACGAAAATTTTACATTTTAATATTTGCTCTTTCGCAGGCCCTCGTTCCCTAGTCAATTGTTCTACACGTGGGAGACGTTTCTGCAAGAAGTGGAAACGGACTCAAAATCAATCAGCGACGTGGCCACCGTACTCGGTCGACAAATTTCAAGACCGCTTTTGGACAGGTCGTATTATCGAAAAGTACAGTCGCGTAAAGTGTTTAGCCAAAGAGACTCGTTGGAATTGATCTTACAAAAAGCCGAAGACAAATTAGCAAAAGTATGTATTAGTTATAGTGTACAATTTCGTATTAAACCTAAAATGTATTTATACTTTCAAAATTTATTTAAAAATCTCAATTTTGTTTTTTTTAGAACTCTCAATAATACGTTAATGTAAAATATTATATTTTTCGAGGTTATGTTATGAACATATTTTAATAAAATACGTAAATAAGTCTTCTACTTCTCCTTCGCCTTCATCACAACTACTTTGGGACAGCCATCCTCGTTCTAAACATCCACTTAACTCGAACTTCCACCTCACTACATAAGTTGTCCTCATTACATTCTCAATTGCATTAAATCACCTCTGTTTCAATATTCTTCTTCCTCCTCTTTCCTCCTAAGTTTATATTCATTGAAATTCTTACTTATAAAAATATTTTAAATTCTAAATAATACGTTATGGAATAAAATTAATATACTTTATTGACACTTAAAACATTTTTCTTTTCGCATTACCGGACCAACAGTTTACTATTATTACAAAGTTGAAAAAAATTCTTATACATTATAAAAAACAAATTTTTAATAATAATATATATATCAATAGCAGCAAAACCATTATGGTCTACTATTTATATAATATAGTGTATGATGTAAAAAAACACTACATACAGCAATTTTAATACAAAAATATCGTAATAACTGGAACCGTCCGCAGTGTTGCTAATAAAATTAGGTTACTAAAATTCCGACATACACTTAATAATATTGATTTACAAAAAAAAAATAAACTATAATATATAATATATTACGTATTGTTATAAACTGTGGCGGTGAATATTAATTCATCCGAAGGTTAAAACTAACGCGTAATTTAAAGTGCAGTGCGTCTGCAGATATAGTCGTGTGATTAAAATAATAATAAAGCAGCGCATATTCGAGTAATCCGAACTTTAAAAGCTTAGTGCCGTACGCGTATATCTCTTATATATATATATTAAAATATAATACCGAGTTCGCAAACAATAGTATTACCCATTTTGAAAATCGTATATATAATATTATCATTATCAACGAATTTTTAAATTTCTAGTTGACATCATACGTCTTTTTTAATATATATACAGGTTATCATAAAAATGAACATATTTAGGGATGACGTGTGTGTTGCGTTGAAAAGAAAAATCACCCTCTATATGCGTTTTTATATTGTAATATTTTCTTCTGCATATCCGTCAAGTATTGTTTTCAGGTGCTCGTATTATTATTATCATTTAGAAATTAAATCAACAAGATAAATAGCAAGTCGAGTGGGTAGGATACGCAAATTAATTTTATTTATATCTGTACGATAAATCATTGCTTACAGAATACGATTCTGAGCAAAGTTCGGATAAACGTGTTTTGAAACGCCGTAGTTCATACAAATTTTTCTTATTATTTTATTAAAAAAACTAAACTACTACATCAAACTCAACTTTTTTTTTTTATCACATACACTTTGAAGTTTCTTATGTTCCGAATTATTACTTTCCGAATTCTTACGTTCCAGAACATTACATTCCGGAATATTACGTTCCGGATTATTGCATAAGACAAAGTTAATGTTTGTAACCGAGACCAAGACCAATACTAAGATTGTGTCTGCAAGAACGAGATCATGATTAAGACTGTCCTCGGTCTTGGTTTCCTAATCACTAATTAAAATAAACTTGAATGATTTCATAACAATAATAAACAGAAATAAAATTCACTTAAAATCATCCGCGAAAATTTCTAATTCATGATAAAAAAAGATCACCCTGTATTTTTCACTGTATTTATTTATACAATAATAATTATTTGTGTATTACGTAAAATCGACGAAAATTGAATATAAAACATTAATTATTCATTTTTTTTTTCGGAACAGTTTTTTTTTTCAATTATATCTGAATAATAAATAAACCACTATCTATATATTTCCGTTCGTTTACTTCGTTAAATATTTCAAGTGCAGTATATAGAAGACTCAATGCGTTTTAGAGTGCTTAATAAATCATAAGATCAATAATCTAACGGGGACCGTTACTCGTTAGATTATTGATATTATTATAACAACGCTCACAAAAGGAGAATCATTTTTATAAAAGTATTTTTTTATTATCTTTACCTACTCTTATATGAAGTACAACGTAAAAATTAAAAACCAGCATAATTTTGTTTTACCTAATTTAGTCATATATATCAAAAAAAATAAAAATTGATATGTAGGTATTTTTGTATAATTATAATAATAATTGTACAATAATCTTTTAGTGTCGAGAAGATTACAAACGTTCCTTTCTCGCCCAGCTGTCGTCTCCAAATAGCTCAGCGTCCCTATCCTCGTATCTCGATGCCCACAACGCCTACGTAACTCAGCTGCACGCGACCAACGGTATGGTTAACCAATATAACCAACACGTACTGCCGCAACTCCTACAGGTAATTTAACTTAGTAAAACAACATGTTTTATGTGAACATTTTTCAAGAACAAATTTATTAAATTACAATTTTAAATTGTGTGTGTTTCTTAAAATAATTTGATCGAGGTAAAAGAAATTCATAATCTTCATCCGCATTGATTAAATTATTTGACAAAAAACTAACACTGAAAACTACTGGATTGGTACTTTTATTATAAATTTATAGATTCTGAGTGGAGCAAAGACGCTTATGGTTTTACAAAGGTGTTTTTTTTTTTTTTTAACTATGCGCAACTTTTCTACCAGAAATCTTGCTTCGATTTACAATGATAGCACTTTTTCTGAAAGGAAATCTAACTGGGGTGGTACTTTTTTTTTGGTAATTTCTTGATTTTTTCAGGAGTTTTCTCAACATATTAGAAAAACAGGAAAACAAATGGGGGAACGAAAAGAATAGGTACAATTTTAAACAAATAACTAAATTAAATTAATAAATAAATTATTAATTAATTTAATAAATTAAAGAAAATGTTTAATGTATAAGTATTTTATCATAATATGCTATATATATTGTTGACAAAGCAAAACTATCAACTGAATTCCGTTCAGAATCGTTTTTTTTTTTGTTAGCAATGATTTATCGTTGCTTATAAATGTACATTAAAGACCCGTCTACTCATGTGAGAATTACATCTGTCTTTTTTAAAAATATTATTTCCTAATCAGAATTTTGTCATGGTTCTGTGGTATACAAAATATGATGAATTTTTTTCTATGAAATTAACAATATACAATTGTATTATTATTTAGCCACATCGAAAACCACCATATTATTATACACATATCTAATATGATTACCGTTTTATTTCAGGAATTAGAAGACGTATATTCCGACTTGTGTGTGTCTTTGTCCGACGCCGTTTTCCAGGGATCTGATATAATCTACACTAAAGTATGCTTAATGACGCTTATTTCCACGCCTCCTCTCTTGACTATTTCATTCTTATTATTTTGTAATAACTTTGTTTCCGGCAGTCGAATGACCAGTCGAAGAGGTACAACGCTTTAGGGTCACAATGCCGGCAGCTGACACCGAGTTCGGATTTGGCCGCGTTCGCTCGGTCCTTGATTCCTTTGCCGGCCCCGCCACATTCATCGCAACGGACCCGATGTTATTGTCCACCCCAAGCTCCAGCGGACACCGAAGGCATGGTTTTGGATCCAGTGGTGACGGTATGCGATCAGCTATTTATTTCGGTTTTATAGGTACGAGAATTAATATATTTTATTATTACAATATTGTCATAGGAGGCCATGGCGCAGCTGGCGCTAAAAAATGACTTGGTCGTCGACAGACTAGCTAGCCTAGACGTGAAGGCTGGATACGATACTATAAGGGCTGAACTAATGGATCTCGAGTCTCAAATGAAACAAATACAAGATTCGGTGGAAACGCTCAAGCGCTTACAACAAAGGTTTTTTTGATTATTATTTACTGATGTTTTCACGGAGGGAGGGTGGTAAATCTAACCACTGGTAAAATTTAGATCGATGTATTGATTATTGTAAATTTCATATACCTATACATGAGATACTGTCAGGAGTTTGTATTGTAATGATGTTACGTGAAGGTTTATAATTAAGGTTGAAAATAATTTCATTAATAGGTTGCTATATTTACGTGAAAAGTTCAAACTGCTAAATATATATTATAAATGCCGGATAGATACTTTGTAGTATAAGGATAGGGCAGTAGAAAAGGAAGGTTGGTCACGTTATCATTGCAAAACTAAAAACAAGATTAGGTTAAGCAATTAATAAGTCGTTTTTTATTTCACGTGCAATCAGGAGAACCCAGAATAAAAATAAAAATGTCAAAATTCAAATGTGAGAGTACATACAATTTGAATTCATAAATATAATGTCGGTATTATATATTTTTTTAAAAAAAACTAGAAAAACGATTCGATTAAAGTCTTTGAGCCTCTGAACAAATTTTTTACCGACCGAAACAAAAAAAAAAATCTTAGTAAAACTGAAAAATATAGATTTTTCTCGCTTCACTCATGAAAATAAAAGATACAATTATTCAAAGGGGGGAGGGTGGATGTACGAGGATTCTCGTTTAAACTTTTTAATTCTGTGATGGTCATGATTAATCCCCTTATAAATTAAGTTTTTGTTTTTATTAATTAATACTTAATTTATAATATTTAATATTGTTATTTTACGAGCCGTGGTGTTGAAATTCGACACTAATCGCTATAATACAATAGTGACGACCGTCGAGCACAACTTTGGGTACAAAGCTATATGACATCTGCAATTACGGACCTAGAAACGATCCGAATCCGGCGGCGGTGGCGGCAGACAGGGATAACATCAGACGACTGAAATCTACCGGATATACTACGAAGACGTGTGTTTTATCATACGGAAACAAACGACGGTGTCTTCGCCGCCTTTGGGGACGACCCCTGAATCGTATTATTTATCGTCGTTGGTTGGTGATCCCGAGACAAAAGCATAATGATCACAATATGACAAGTCGTCGATTCGATCGAAATAAATATAATAATAATACACCAAACAAAATTCGAGATGCTTTTTTTCTCTTGTTCCCCTGTTTAATGCTGCCCCGCCTCCAACGTAGAAATTTGTTATCTTTGTTGTGTTAGTGTTTTTTTTATTTTGTTGTATTATTTTAAACTTTTTATTCAATGTATATTATAAAACGGTAGCACAAACAAAAACTAAACTGCCAACCCTTTGTTTCACTTTTTTTTTTCACCCCCGACGGATATGCGTATCTTCATTTATCATTTTTTTTTTTTATTTTGTATTTATACGAAGTCCGGCCATTTTCGCCCGTTTGATTTAATCAAACGGATTTCGTTTCACAGTTATATGTGTATAATAATTAATTGAAATATTAAAATATAAAAATAATACTTTTTTCGATCCGCTGAACGTCGCAGTTAATAATAACAACAACAATAATAATAATATTGGTGTTTTTTAATCTATATGCGGAATATAAAATATTATTTATATATAAAACTCGTCCGACCCCATAAATCATACCGTATATTATTAATATTCGAGTTGTGTTTCGTTATTATCGACATGCGTATGTATGTATCGTTTAGTTTACTCTGCAGTAAACATGACGTACGTATACTTGGGTGGTACTTATTTTCCGAATTAGGCAAAAAAAAAAAAAAATTAAATGCCTCGTCATTGTATGATAATTTTCAAATTCAGTGCATTTAACTGTTTAATATTTCGACTATAGCCTGTACATTGCGTTCACCCTAAGAGGTACCACTAAATATTTCAGTTGGATGACCCAGTATTAAAATGGAATTTTCGGGAAACGATAGGTAGTACCCAAATACATATTTTCAGACAAATTTAAAATTTTTAACCCTTTTGGTACGCGCGTGCGTAATACAACTTACTTTTTTTTTAAATGACAACACCATTTTTTTTCTACAGATTCGGATAAAGTATTTTATTTAAAACAATTTTTGTTTGAAAAATGTTTTTTTAATTACAACATCGGAAAAATTATAGTGTGTTGAAATTTAATATTTACGAATAATCTGTTATTGACGATATTTTAACTATGTTCAACTTATATTCGAAAATCGAAATGATATCTTTGATATTGTGAAATACCTGTTTGCTGACAGATAAAATAAAAATAAACACTTCAGTTCATTTTATAAGGGCATTTAAAAAATATCGTATACGTGGATCCTTCTAATAATGTTCAAGATTTAAAAACGAATTACGAGTAGCATGTAATAATTTGAGAGAAGACCAAATAAACGGTGCCACATCAAGGTAATTTTTAAACCATTTGGAATCATGTTCGGAACATCAAGGCGGAAACTTTGAATAATGTATTTGATAAAAAAATAATAGTTGCAAATAAATACATCTTACTTTCAAATTCATAGTGTGTACATTTTTATAATTTCCGTTGTTCGATTTGTCTATTATCGAAGGTAAACTTTAGTTATCCATTATATATTAATCCCTTTTTCTATCGTCTCTCACCATTTCACTCATCCGCCTAAATATTTTCATCTCTGATACACTCATTCTCTGTTTTATTTTTCTGTTTACCTCCTAATACAATAAAATCTCACTACACTTGTATAGAACTTAACTTTAAGTTTCATTGGAATTCTCTTGCTACATAAAAGCCTAAAAGATATTTTAGCTCAAGTTGTCTAGATGGTACTTTAAAGTTGTCATTTTTTGATTTTCGAAAACGATTTAATCGAAAAATCACTAGAATCAAACAAACCTTTTTTGTTGCCTTTTTGATTTAATTTCTTGCGGTATCATCTTCAAAACTTTTAAACCACTTCTGAGCTTTTAAGGAATTTTAATTTTTGTGAGTTTTTTGCTGTGATTCGGTTATAAATACACGTAGATATTTGAAATTCATTAATACTATATATATTGGACTTACCTAGACGTGGTAAAATTTTCAAAATCATTGGATAACTTTTTTTTTTTAATGAACGTTTTAAAATTAAATTTAAACGAAAATCGCCAAAAAATGGCACTTCAAGTTATGTATTACCGAACTGCGCTTGGAATCGTCTTTCATCAAGCAATGGTTTATCGTTGCATATAGATATAAATAAAATAACCTTATGTCCTACCTACTTTTCACCTACAACAGTGGCCGCTCCCATCCTTAGTATCAGCTTTTTCTAAGGTTTTTTTTTTTTGTATTGTATCTACTAAATATATTTATATATTTGTTTTGTATATGACACAATTGGCATGAAAATAATACAGCTAAGTCATTAGAAGATTTTTAATTTAAATATATTTATTACTTGTAGCCTATAGGTATCCACTTTGAGATTTGGAAAAAGTATCCTAAAAAATATATAAATTATGGGATAAGTTTGGGTACGTTAACTGTTGTAAATATTAAGTACCTAAATAATATTATATACAATTATAATACAGTATAACCATTCCTTTTTGAAAACTGGTCTATTAAACTGTACCTATTAATGTAATTAATTACATAATAAGTTTATATGCTGTATACATTTTAATTAATTTTAGATTTTTATTTGTACTTGGTTTCAAATTTGAAATATGAATCTAAACCAGGAGTGTCCAACTTTTTGTGAAGACAGGACCACATCATGTAAACAGAAGTTATTGTGGGCCACACACATTTTAACAATAATCCATTTAATTTATAATTTTTACCATAGTGAATAATAAATAGAAATATTTTGAAGAGCTATTGTATTTTATTTATAATTGCAAGAAAAAATATATTTATTCGTGATTAAAACAAAACATTTTTAAAATAATTGCATTGTTATTTTAGTTACATTAGTTTCTTTATCGCCATCAGATTCCAATAAAGATAAAACGTTCATATAATAGTATATACTATTAAGTTATATTTAAATTTTTTTAAATTGTTTTACATTCTTAAAATAAATTTTTTCTCAATTTTTTCTCTTTAATTAATTGATGATTTTAAATTGATGTGAGGGCCATATTAAAATCTACCGTGGGCTGCATGCGACTCGGGTGCCACGGGTTGGACATCCCTGATATTAACAAACTTTAAAAAGATTGTGTATGTTAGGTATAAATGTTCTTATTTGTATTTATTTTAAAATTAAATTTTATGTATTTTATTGAATTTCAATGTAATTTCCACTATACCCTAACTAAACATATTTTTGTAACTATTGCGGATACCTTAAGTCTCATGTTACTTGTTTATCAATTCGAGTTAAGATAGTTTTAAACGATTTGCTGTTATATTTTTTATTTTTTATCTTTGCAATTTGTTGGCACACCACATAGATTCATAGGTAAAGATATATGAATATTATTCTCTGTTCGTTTTCTAATATATTACATACAAATTATTATAATTTTGTCGGTTTTGTATTGTAACATATACATCACAAAGAACCCTGATAGCTTCATATATGAGTATATTCTAATTGTTCATGGATTTCTCGTAATACCTAGAATCTAGATGAACGTTGTTTGAAATTGATTTTCACACTTGTTTCTTTAAATTTAATATAAAACATATGTTTGTATATTTTGTCTATTTATGTGTAAAGAATTATTAATTCTAATAATATTTTAACTAATAGATTTTAATTTTTGATTTATACCCTAAGTGAAATTAATTTCAATATCTTTAATATTAATCTGTTACATGGCAATCATGATAGACGATCGCTAGTTTGGTTCTGATCACACTCGTTGTTCTCAGATTTTTCACCATGCTCCCATTATTCCATGTTAATTCTTTTGTTTTGTTACGGCTATTGTTATATTAATCTATTTAGTATTTTCTTACGAGTCCACATAGTAGATTCCATCCAGGGGTTAAATTTTCAGTTGGAGGGACACACACAGAGGCTTGCAATTCTTGCATAGTTGTTTGCTAATTCAAAAAAAAAAAAAATAAATAAATTAGTAAAACGTTGTACACTAGTAAAATGTGAATTCGGATAGGCATTCTAAGTATATCATCACATTCGATTTTCGATGAAATTGTATTATTGCATTTAACTCATTTTTTTTCTGATAATAATTGAGGCATAAAATATTTTAATTTATTGTACCCATGATTTATTGGGTTTTTATTTATTTCGTATTGCATTGAAATCATCGGGCACGTAGGCATTTGGTATAATACTATTATATTAAAAAGACAATTATTATAGTAGGTACTATACGGTAGTTAAAAGTCAAAAAGTGAATTCAATCGTATAATATTTCTATCGTCGTTATCCGTCCTAAATTATAATAATTAATTGCCGTGTACATACCTAATTGTATAAGTGTAATATTTGACATGTTTGGAAAACATTATAAATAATGCGTTTTTCATTTATAACTTCTAAAATGAAAGGGGATTTTATACGAAAAATTTGACATTATTTGCTGGCATAATTAATATTTACTTTATTAATCTGCATTTGCCAAACCTGTTCAAAACAAAAGTGGTTTCGATTTTGGTTTTGATTTTAGGCGTTCTACGCAAAAATTTGTAAAACGACGAACACTTTGTCCAAATTATCGTCTTGAACATAGTAATAATATACAATTTTAGATCGGTAAACAGCAGAATTTCGTCATAAGAAAAAAAAACAAATAAATGCTCATTGATATAGGTACGAAATTGTGCCAAATTTATATGAGACATTTTATAATATTCACATGCATTAGTTTTTTTGTTGTTTTTTTTTTTACTATAAGCAATGCTCATTCGAATGTATCTAAATAAAATTGTATTTATAGGATAAATGACATCATAAATAAATATTAAAACTTATAATATTTTTACCCTCTCTTAATAAGAGTGCGCGAAACATATACCTTTTTATTTTTGTTTTCAACACTGTTCTGATAAACGAACACGCTGAATTTTTCTGTTATCAAACGTGTGAAACGTTTACTCACGAATTCGCTCGTGATTTATTGTATAAACATTGTATTTTCAAAATGCGTAAACACAAAAATAACTTTACGTTTAGTATATTATTATATTTTGTAATCTGATTTTAAATTTATAGCGATGCCTTTTTGTCACTTCGATAACTTTTTTTTTACGTTATCGCGGTAGATAGATATATATATATAGTAGGTGAACTGCAAGTATAACAAAATTAATTTCGAATATTGTTTGACAGGCTCAGAAACAGTACCGTAAGTAGAAAACCGTCGTCGGTGAACTATACATGGTTCGGTTCTCGAGAGATTTATATTCTGAACAAATAGTATTGAACGAAATTCGCGGGTCCGGGTCAATTTACCGACACTCAAATGACCGATAGGACATTTGGCCGACCACCAAAATACCGACCCAATTATTAAATATCACGGAAAAGCGCTTAGTGTTATTTTTATATTTTGTGGAATATCTACACGAGCCGATTGAATCGAGTATAGGTGTATCGCATCGAGTATCGGTGTATTGTAATATCTAACAATCTAACGCAATAGTAGTCAATAGTATTGACTAATAATTAATTAACAGCAATAAATTGTGTTTGTATGTATAATAAAATATGAATATTATATGATTTTCTGTGGTATTTAATAATACCGTTCCTGTCGATAAATACACTAGATAGCTGTGTATCATACAAAATTATTTATGTACTTTTAGATTCTGAGCGTAGGGAGCTATTAGTTTTACAATGATATTTAATTTTTAAATTTTTTTTTTTCTGTGAACAACTTTTTTACCGAATATTTTGATCCAATTTTTAAGTGTAGCACTTTTTTTGAAAGGAAATCTGATTGGGGTAGTACTTTAGGTCATATTTTTCAAAATAAATGTGAAAAACAGGTGAAAAACTTAGGAAAAAAGGGAAAATTTACGAAACGTATTATTTTCAAATCGTAATTATTACCGCCTTTCAAAACATTATTGAATTCCGCTCTGAATCATTTTTCGTCAGTAATGATTAATCCTTCTGTATAAAAATACATTAAATTTCGCCTCTTCCTTCTCAACTTCTTACCCACAACAGTGTCCCACCTATCATGTAAAGTATGTCCGTTTGTTTTTTTTTTTTGATAATTCTTTTTTTATATTTTAACACTATCCATAGTATTATCATTACTAAGATATTTATTATTTTTTTTTTTTCGTAGTTTTTAATCAAATCGGTATTTCGATTGTCAGTCATTTAGGTCAATTGTCTATCTTCCAATCTCCCAAAATACATACCAATGTAACCTCAAAAATTGGATGATTAGTTTTTATTATGATTTGTTCACTTTCCAGACTTTTAAATATACTAGGTAGGTATACAACAGACAACGGTTTTTACCTATATTTACCCTTAAAACATTTTTCACCGTCCCCTCCAGAGTAATAATTGTAGTCAAAATAGTTTTGAACCGTGAATGAGTTTGACTAATAAAAATATTACACGTCGTTTTATAATTGTTTCGGCGCGAATTGTTAAATTTCAGTACGTTTTCCTATACACAAAAAATTAATGTAGTGTAAAAACTTTATTATGATGGAAAATTCCCCACTCTCATCGCGGAACACTATAACATAGTATTTTTTTTATTAGGTTAAACGCAGCTACGGGTAGCTTATATTGTTTTTTGTTGCAGAATGGGTATAGGTATACCTACAGGAATCTCGTTCGACGCAGAATTAATATAAAAACGTTTAATAATTTTCCCGCTATCCGCTTATCCATTCTCGGTGATGCACGGTCCGGCATTTATAGTTTATTATTTTGACATGCAGTGCAGTGGTCCTGTTCGATTTCTATTTCGTTAGTCTAATATTGTCCTAGTCTCGAAATCAATTAATTTGTCCGGTTCGATTTTTTAAAAAAAAAAAGTTTATTGTTCTACGGTATAGACTATAGAACATCAATATTATTTTTATACCACCGGTTCCTAAAGCGTGTGCCGTGTCGTCATGTGAAATCTTATTTTGTCTAAAAAAATTTTAAAATCAAACGACGGCGGAAACAGCCAAATTTAGTGGGTGTCACTATTAATTATTTGGTTTTTTTTTTTTTTGCAGGAGCTTGGAACAGTCCATGTTCAACAAAGCAAACGAACTGCAAGAGGAAATCAGTAGCAAGAGATTCGAATATCGGAACGCACAAATACACCTGGCTGCCGTTAAGTCACAGGTAAAATTATTGCTGTATGTAATATATAATTTAGGAACCTTTTCCTGTTAAATAAAATAGGTACGTGAAATAAAAATAGTTTAAAAATGTTAAAAAAAACACTACGGATTTATAGGACTATCTTAAAAAGTCCGTCATTCTGGCACCCGCACTTAGGAATTTTAAAACTAAACCAACGCCATTATTTAGCAAGGAATTTGTAATAATTTGTAACCTCTCCCAAACCCGAGAAAAAAACTTTTTTAGTTTTCGGTTGCTGAAACAACGTCACCCTGGCACCTGCATCGTCTTAAATTTATAAATGTGTATTTAAAATCTTATACAAAAGAGTGTGCCGGAACAACGTCGTTTCAAAAATCGGAAAATAAAAAAGTGTTTTTCTCGGGTTTGGGAAGGGTTACAAATTCGGAAACAAAAGTAACAAATTATTACAAATTCCTTACTGAATAATGGCGTTGGTTTGGTTTCAATCGGACAAGTTTTTAAGACAAGCCCTAGACGATGCGGGTGCCAGGATGACGTTGTTTCAGCACCCGAAAAATAAAAAAGTGTTTTTCTCGGGTTTGGGAGAGGTTACGAATTTGAAAACAAAGGTTACAAATTATTACAAATTCCTTGATAAATAATGGCGTTGGTTTGGTTTTAAAATTCCAAAGTGCGGGTGTCAGGATGACGGACCTGTTTTAAAGGCCGTGGAAAATATATTACAGCATTGTGTGTACGACGGGGTGATTTTTTCATTTTATAAATATAGATACAGGGTGCAAACATACTCGCATCGGTTTGCACAAGATATTCCTTTAATATTTTCGGTGTATCGAATAAAAATCAACATATTTTTCAACATTTCGCTTATATTATACGGTATTCTAGGTACATCCTATATACGATAGGTAGAGAAATTATATATTAATATTATTTCTAAATATAATCAAAAACAATAGTTACTACCTATATAAAAATGCAACAAAAATAGTGTGACAAATTTACCTAATACATGTATAATCGACTCCAAATCAATAATATTTTAGAATATTCTTTAACATTCCCATGCATTTTTTCTCCGGAAATTCGAATTTATCATACTCGTGTTACGCGCTGTATTGCTTTTTGATGCTTTTTCAGCATCATCGTGATGATTTTTTTCTCCACCCTGTATTTGTGTTAACTATTCAGTGTGGAAAAGCTGCGCGTGAAAAGTTTTCGCAAATACATAATATACAAAAGCTTGTATATACCTATACGTATATATATTTTACGATTTTCTAGTTCATTTGACGGGGTGACATGGGAACATTTGTTTGGCGTGTGTTTCGCTGCAGACGGCCGGTTCCGCCTCGACCAAACTTATTTTTTAGTGCCCCCCCCACCCCCAATAGTCACAATCAGTTATATTATTTGACTATATGTCTACCGTATAAATTCACTAATTCAAAAAAAAAAATAATAATAAGACGTCCTAGGATAGTGAGGACTTGTGCAACTAATGTTAATGGTAATTCAATGTATACCTGTAAGAAACGATAAACCATTGCTTACGAAAAAACAATTCTTAGCGGAGTTCAGTTGATAGTGATGCTTTGTTAACAATATATATGTCATATTATAGTAAAAATATTAAAATGGTTTTCTATATTTTCTTTACTAATGTTTGTTTAATGTTATACCGATTTTCCCAGTTTTCTTATGGTTGTCTAAGTTTTCTCATGTTTAAACCAGGTTTTTCACATTTGCCTAGAAAATCTAAATATAACCTCTCTTACGTACCTTCCCAGTCGTATTTTCTTTTAAAAACATTGCTATCATTATAAATTAGAGCGAAATTGCTGGTAGAAAACATCTTTGAAAAACCGTAAGCTTCTTTGCGCCACTCAGAATCTAAAATAATAATATTTTAGACACCGTATTACTTGTAACACAGAACTTTTATGGAGACATAACTGAAGAATTTATAGTCCCTCAAACTATTAGCGTAATTATCCTATCGATTGATAAAAAACTGAAATTGTATATATCCACTAGTGACGTGCCCGCAAATATGTAATGCGAAAGGATGTTGTAAATAATAGTATTATGATTCATGAATATATCCTAGAGTCTTCTTCTGTTATATCTAACCCCGAACACGACAGTGATAATTAAAAAGCCGGATTTAATACATTCAATTTGTATTCATAAAATCTGGCTTTTTTTTTTCTTGTAACTTGACTAAATTATATAATTTCAAGATAAAATGACAAAATAAATACTCATAGCTGATGTAATTTTAATTCTGCGGTAGATTTTGAACCTTAATCATCTTCTCCTTAGTACGTCAATGATGTTCATTATTTCCTCGGATCGTTTTATAAATTTCGATTCTACGGCTGAACTATAATATTAAGAGCATAAAAAAAGCATAAAAAAATTCAGAACTTTTTTCGTGAAAAACGCGTAACTATTTTCCATTTTCGAGAAAATTGCAACGAAATGAATAATTAATAATGTTTCACACGTCCATCAAAACTTCAGAAGTACGTTCAACGTTTAAAAAAATTAAATCAACTAGCACAAGTTCGTTTTATTTACAAAAAACAAATATGTTCAAAAACCATTAAAAACATTCAAACAAACTAACGAAAATAACGTATATTTTTTTAATCCTTATGTTTAAATAATGGTATAAATCATCAAAATTATTTATGCACATATCGTTAGGTTAGGTTAGGTTATTCTTGTACAGTGGGTAGCACAGTTTTTTTTTAGTTTTACAGAACGACCGAAAACCGTTTAAAAGCCTCGCGTTTCACAATAAGTTGGAAGCGAAAGCGGTAAATAAACAGCATTAATAAATTATATTATACGTGAGCAACCGAACTAATATAAAGTACGAATAAGCGATTTCAAACAATTATTGAAAAACGTATTGTATTCCGCTTGCACATGGTCGCGTGTGCAATTGTTCTTATTGTTACACCCGGTTTGTTTATAGACTTATACATCTTGTATTAATAATATTGAATTTCGGTGTAAAAATCGTTAGAGACTATAACCTAACCTAACCGCCGGCCCTCGTCTATTATAATAATATTATTATAGGTCGTGTTACTTCTACACCTACGCCACAGCGTAAAACGCGGCGGCGGTGTCGTGTTTCGTTTTTGAAATTGATATAATATTATTATATATTATGTACACGTTTTGTGTGGTGTTCGTACATTTCCGAACCGCTCGACCGCGTATATATTATATAAGGTCTGTAACCTTAATAATATATACACCAGATGATAATATTCGATAAAATTCCGGTAGAGCGCGGAGGACCTTATCGTCACAGTTGTGCTGTACACAAACGCACGCATTTCGTACGTCTCTGTCGGTTTTCGAGATAATCCGGAAAATCGTTATTCCGTATGTTCGCGAGAAACTATAATATACTATTATAAACCTATAGCGATGCAATCTCGTCATCGGTGACTGAAAGTCCGTGAACTGAAAACAACGACGATCTGAATTATTATTATTATTATTATTGTCGATGGTATATACGTTTTAAAAGTGCATTTAATTGTCAATATATAACGATAATTTGACGATATTTTAAAGCTTTGTAAAACCCACTCAATCCGAGAGCGCGTTTCAGTGAAGGGTGCGAAATCCAGAATGCATACTATGTTAATAGAAGTACAGCATTTGAATGTAAATTAATGTACGAACTAGCAATTGTATGTGACCATCATAATCGCTTCTAATGTCTTATTACGAGTCGGAGGATACATAAACCGAACCTAACAGTATAATAATATGTCTAGCGGGTTTCCTACCTATTCGGTAATACATTTTCAAAAAAAAAAAACCATCATTTTTAGTTCTCTATCTTATACGGTTATTGTAATAATCTAGGCTTGAAACCGACAATTCGATTTCATTTTTGTTAATATTTTTGTTTTTTCCCCGGTTTCGATTCTGACAAATAATTTACTATTTAAATGATTTAGGTTATATATTCCGGTCTTTTGATATTAGTGTTTCAAATACTGATTATAATACCATTATTTATTTTAGCTATAAATTCGTAAAAAAAAAAAAAAAAAAAAAACGGTATTAACGATTGAGTATGAATCAAAGATTTTGTTTTCGTTTTTGTAAAAAAACTAAATCATATACAATATAAGCGGAAAAACTTGAAGAGTTTTATGAAATAAAACCGTTTAATGTTTTATAATAATCCTATAGGTTATTAATTTAGGAAAGTCATAATTGCATTTGGATCGTTCGCTGGTTCATAAAATTCAAAAATGGTATTTTTTTCCTTAGTGGATTTGATAGAGGAAAAGTTGGTAATAGAATACAATAATTGTGACACGTAATGACAAATTATCGGCAATTATTTCAACTACTTATGAATTATATTATTCACGAATTGATAACCATCATTGACCGCGATCATAATGGTATTTGCCAACTTCAGAATAAAATTTTTAACGAGCTCGTTTGAAAAAATGGCATTTACAAAAACAAACGTCGAGAATAATCCAAGAAAAAAACGCGGTCAATTTTGAAATGAGAATATACGTGCGAGTATATAATATAATGGACTATGACGGTTATTATTTTTTTTTAAGTGCACATCATAATCTAGACAGCTGGATATCCGAACCAATCACTATTATTAATAACAAATAAAAAATAATGTTTTTTACCAAGGTCAACATTAAGTAAACTATATATGTAACATTTTATTACAACAACAAACAATATTCCAAATAATATACATACTGTAGTAGATAATTTTAAAATTGAATAAATACAAATGTTAATACGTACCCTAAAAGTTCTTACTTAAAATTATATAAATAAAATAATAGTGATTTCCGCTATTGTATAGTGTGTATAGTAGTAACGTTGAAAAGCAAGCGTATTAGCTTGACAGGATATGTATGAAGAGCACTAGATCAGACTAATCAAGAGGCAACAAAATTTATCCCAATAGAAAAAGACCACTAGAAAGACCAACACAGAGTTACAAGTAATGTGCGAATGCTTAGAGTATTGAACAGCGAAGAATTAGTTAATGATAATGAAGCACGGGAAAAAAAAAACTGTAAATTTAATATTAAATTAAACTAAAAAACTTGTGAATTATTCTATATAAATATAAAATATAAAGGAGAAAATATCGAAAGGAAATTATAGACAAAACAACACAACGCAAATAAGTGCATACCTACTGTATTTTACAAAAACTTTTCAAAAATATCAAAAATCGTACATTAAATAGGTGGTTATGATTATATAAAACCGTTTTGAATGGTATACATTTTTTCTGTAGACACTAAACATGTTTTTAAAAAGTGTTTATCAGTATTATCTTCACAATCAATTTACGGATAAATTATTTGAATTATGGTAATATGATACGGGCCGACCAAGAAAATTATTTGAAAGGGAATTTTGCAAATTTTTTTGAATGGAAATTTGAAATATTTGCATTTCGTTAAAGTTTACTATACGCAACACCTTAAATTAGATTATATTGTAACGATTATTACCATTAAATCCCAATAATATTCTTCTTTACGAGTTATATTTTGTTGGATTTTTGAAAAAAATATATTAGAAAATATTATGTTGACAATGAATTATTACCGCAAAGTAATTTTCATCCGTGAAAACTCCTGGTGTCCTTCTTCTCAAATGGGTGTCACTTCTCGTCTTTAAAGTGATAATTAATGTGTTACAAATGATTTTTGAGAAAATTTGAAAAACTGATACCTTAATACTATACGTATTTTATACCTATATTTTCCTAATAATATTACATAGATATAATACTCTCAGATATCGTTGTTGACCCTGCAAATATACCGCAATGAAAAATAGCACGCCTATATTATATTCATCATCATCATCATCATATCATTCATATCGTACAATGTAATAATAATACCTGCCTCAAAAAATATAATAACCCGACATCGTAACCATGGCGATACTGCCGTAACCAAAAATTACTTCAAAAACGTTATTGTCGAATTTTATGCGCGACGTAATAACGGGGTATGAGCCGACAAGGCTGGCACGATGACGACGGCGATAGGTATAATAATTTTCCATTAGTTTTTAATATTACGCCTGACAAATTATACCGATATACTTACCTTCAACGTTGTCAACCTACTTCATTAATTTCACACTGTAATGTTTTACACGAATTTCATAAATTTCCCATTTATTACTTGGTTTTAAATTTCAATTAATCCATCGTTCTCGGCGTCTTCGTGCCTGTTTCGTAGATATTATAATTAAATAATTAAATATGATTAAAACTATGCATTTAATGCGTTAAAAATCAGTTCGAAACGCAATGATGCGTTTAAAAATAGAAAAAAAAAAATGTATAATTACCAAAACGCATAAGTCAAATGCAACATTTTTGAAAATATATTAATAAAAACTATTCGTTATTTTAAGTACAAACAAATCGATGTATTCTATAAAATGTATAATGATTATACTATAATCGAACCGTGTTTCTAGTTTTAATAAACAATTTAATTACTGTAAACAAATTTCAATAAATCGGTTTTATTTTTGTACAAATTTTGAATTTCATATTAGATACAAGGGAAAACAACACGACCAATGCTTATATAATAGTATGACATTACTAGTTTACCGAGCTCCGTTCGGAATAGTTTTTTGATTGCTTAGATTAACTGTCACTTTTTGGTACATAAACCCAATAAACTCTAATACTCAATTGTAACCTTGAAAATGAAATTATGTGTTTATGATGTATTCAGTTAAAATAAATGATAAAAGTCGTTTAAAAGCATAAAAAAAAAACAATAAATCTATTTTACCCATAAAAATACACTGAAATTTTGGCGTTGAAGAAAAAACCTCGTGGCCGTTATAAAATATTGTCATTTTGAATTTTGGACGATAACATTTATCGCTTCTTCCAAACAGTTACCATTTTAGAGTTTTGGAAAATAATTGGAAATTAGATAGACGATATCCTGTATAATATACCTACCACCCGCAACGGTAACCTGTAAC